CACCTCCGGGACCCGCGGCACCAGCACCCTCAGTAGCCGAAGAACCTCCAGCACCAGCAGCACGCCTCCAGCGCCGGGCAAACCACTCGCGCAGCTCCTGTGGAGAGAGTGGCTCCCGCCGAGACGAAGCACCCGGAGAACCTCCAGGCTCAGCACCGCCAGACGCCACACAAGCAGGCCCAGCTCCCTCAGGCTCCGCACCCCCAGGCTCAGCACCTCCAGGCGTAGCACCCCCAGGCGTAGCACCCCCAGGCTCAGCACCCCCAGGCTCAGCACCCCCAGTAGTAGCACCTCCAGGCTCAGTACCCCCAGGCTCAGCACCCCCAGTAGTAGCACCCTCAGGCTCAGCACCCCCAGGCGTAGCACCCACACGCTCAGCACCCCCAGAGTCAGCACCCCCAGGCTCAGCACCCTCAGCAGCACCAGAGTCACCAGTAACCTCGACAGGCTCGACTGCGTCTACCTGGGACACACCTGAAGGGGCAGGACCCTGAGGGGGGAGGGGGTCTACCGGGGGGGGACTTGGCACAAGGAAGAGCGGTGGTGGGGGGAGGGACGGAGTGCGGTAGGGGAAGAGGCGGTAGTAGGGGACCGACTCGTCAAACGTGACGTCCTGGGAGGACAGAACACGGCGAGAGGTGGGGTGGTAGAACTGCCACCCTGGCGCGTCAGGGGGGAAGCCAAGGAAGACGCAAGGAGCAGCACGAGGGGACAGCTTGTCCGCAGACAAGTCGCGGACAAACGCCCGAGATCCCCAGACACGGAACGCAGACGCATCGCCAACCTTCCCCGTCCACAGCAAAGCTGGGGAGGTCTCCGGCCTGGAGACCCTAGGGTGAAGGTTGATCTGATGCGCCGCGTACCGAACCGCAAACGGCCACAGAAAATGGGGGGCAGCCGCATGCATCATGGACGTACGGGCGACGTCCATGACCATGCCAATGCGGCGCTCAGCAATCCCATTTTGCTGTGGAGAGTCCGGAAGCGTGAAGGTCTGGCGGATGCCTCGTGCACGACATTAGGCTCGCAGAAGGCCAGAGGAGAACTCTCCACCTCTGTCAGAGTGCAGACGCAGAACAGGAAAGTCCGACCGGAAGCTCTGCCTGAGCTGGAGACGAGCTGCGCGGATCCAGTCGATCAACACCTCAGTGATATCACCCTTGCTGCGCAAGGGGAAGACTGTGGTGTAACGCGAGTAGTCGTCAACCACCAGTAGGAAGTAGCGCTCGTGACCCTGTCCACGGACGCGGGCCGGGCCCCACACGTCCATGTGAAGCGTCTGCAGCGGGGCCTCTGTCGGAGGAAACTGGGAGGAGTGAGGGGCAGCCCGCTGCCGCCCCTCGACACAGGGGACGCAGGTAGGGCCAGGCCCCGGAGGAAGGGGAGGGAGGGACCGGGGAAGACCAGAGACAAGGACACGGGAGGCCATGCCTCGGAGACGAAGCAGGGAGGGGTGACCAAGGCGGTGGTGCCAGAGGAGAGTCTCGTGAGACAGGAGGCGACACGAACAGGGGGCAGACTCAGGACCAGACCTGGACGCTGCAGCAAACACCTGACCCGACGCAGCTACCTGACCAGACGCAGTGATTGGAGGAGACACAGTGGTCAGGGTCTACAGGCTCGACCCCGGCCGACGGGTAAACGTGGCCAGGTGTCGGCCAGTCCGAGCGTCCGTGCAGTGGGTCACCCGCTGACTCGCAGGAGTGAACTGGTGAACCCCCGCATCCTGTAGGTCAGCACCACTCACCAAGTTCGTAGAGAACGAGGGGAGGTAAAGACCAGACAGGGTGCCAGAGGGGGCCGCCGGACACGGGAGGACAGTGGAGAAGTGAGCAAGGACCGGACCCCCAGAGGGGTCTGCCAGAGAGACCGCAACTGGCCGGCCAAGCGGCGTGAGTGTGGTGCGGTCTCGAAAGAAGGAGCGAGAAGCCCCCGAGTCAAGGGTGAAGGTGTGGGAGGCCGAAGCCGACGCAGAACCTGAGAGAGCAGACTCACCAGCACCTGAGGGAGCAGACGCACCTAGAGCAGCAGCCTCGCTAGCACCTAGAGCAGCAACCTCACCAGTACCTAGAGCAGCAGTCTCAATGCCCGGGTCGGGCGGAAAACACCGGTAACAGTCACCCTCATCACTAATAGTCACAGTATACATAGCAGCAAGAATAGCATCAAAGTCAAGGTCAAAGACAGCGACACCCGCCCTAGACATCTCACCCCAGCGGGCGATCTCAGTGGCCTCAGGGAACTGGTGGCGCCAAGCGTCCGTCAGGCGGCCAAAGCAGCGCTGGGTGGAGTGCGCACCCCCGCACTGGTCACCCGCGCGGTCGCCGGTGCGGAGGACGTAGGTGCACGGACCAGTACCCCCACCCCGCTGGCGTGCAGCGTACCACTCACGGAGCTGCTGAGGGGGGGGGATGTCACGAGTGCGCTGCTGCTGCTGCTGCTGCTGCTGCTGCTGCTGCTGCTGCTGCTGGCGCTGACCACCACCGGAGCCGACCCTCTGCGCAGCGCCACCCCGACCAGCTCCACCTCCTCCGCCGCCGCCTCCTCCACCGCCGCTACCTCCGCTCCCACCGCCACCGCCGCCACCGCCTCCGCCTCCACCTCCGCCACCGACACCTCCACCCCCACCACCACCCCCACCGCCACCCCCACCCCCTCCACTGCCTCCACCGCCGCCTCCACCGCCCCCGCTAGCTCCTCCAGTGCCCCTGCCCCCCTTGCCCTTGCCAGGGCGGCGTCTCCCGCTAGGGGTAGATGCCGCACCGACCGACTCAAGCCCAACGAGGTCGGCCGCAGCAGCAGAGGCAACAGAGGGCAAAAGGGGGGAGGGGGAACACCCCTCAAAGATGGGGGTGCGAGGGTCACCACGAGAGGCTCCTACAGCGACTATGCTCTTCTCTGCTGCTAGGAGGGACTTCTCGAGGAGGTCAACGGTGAGAGTGGTGGGGCAAACTGAGAGGAAGTGGTCCCTGACTACGCGAAGGGAGTCAGGGAGCCGGGTGACTATGTAGTAGAGGGTGATGTACATGGGGGGGGGGTTCTTGGCGCAGAACTCAGCAGGAAGCGCAGCGCGGTAGCGAGTGTCACTAGTGCGGAGGTGCGTAATGAGGTCAGCGACTGTGGGAAAGGCAGCAAGGTCAGGGAAGAGGTACGGTAGCATGAGGCGGCTCAGTGCAGCAGTGGCAGGGGAGGAGTAGCGCGCAACTACAGCCTCGTACAAGGTGTGAGCACTCTTGTACTGGCTAAAGTGCGCACGCTCAGAGGTAGGCAGGTGGCGACGCACAGCAAGACGTGCAGCAGCATCGCGCGTGGCCCACTGTGAGCGAACAGTGGCGTCAGCATCAGCAGCGGGGGCAGGGGAGGCACCAGAAGTGAGGTCAAAGAGGGAGAGGCCGTCTGCTCTGTCGCACTGTAAGAAAAGCTGCAGGTCATCTATCCAGACGTCAAAGTCAATGGCCCGACCCTCAGCGTCAAAAGCGAGGACACTAGGGGTAGCCATGACAGCAGTAGACTAGCAGCGCAAACAGTAGGGTGAGGGCAGTGCTGTGAAAGAGGCGCTGCTCTTACCGGACAGGGCGGCTCGGGTGGCTCGGCTGCAGGGCGGCTCGGCGGCTCGGCTGCTGGGCGGCTCGGCGGCTCGGCTGCAGGGCGGCTCGGCGGCTCGGCTGCTGGGCGGCTCGGCGGCTCGGCTGCTGGGCGGCTCGGCGGCTCGGCTGCTGGGCGGCTCGGCGGCTCGGCTTCTGGGCGGCTCGGCTGCTGGGCGGCTCGGCGGCTGGGCGGCTCGGCTGCTTGGCGGCGCGGTGGGGCCGCTGAGAGGGCGGCGTCCGGGGCCGCTGGGAGGAGGCGGCGAGGCCGCTGAGAGGAGGCGGCGGGGCCGCAGGTAGGTGGCGGGGCCGCTAGTAGGTGGCGGGGCCGCAGGTAGGTGGCGGGGCCGCTGGTAGGTGGCGGGGCCGCAGGTAGGTGGCGGGGCCAGTACAGGTAGGTGGCGGGGCCGCGGGTAGATGGCGGGGCCGCTGGTAGGTGGCGGGGCCGCAGGTAGGTGGCGGGGCCGCTAGTAGGTGGCGGGGCCGCAGGTAGGTGGCGGGGCCGCACAGGTAGGTGGCGGGGCCGCACAGGTAGGTGGCGGGGCCGCGGAGGGCGGCGACGAGCCGTAGGGGGCCGTGAGGGGCCGCGGGAGTGGCCGTAAGGGGCGTAAGGGGCCACGCGGGGGGCCGTAAGGGACGCCGCGAGGGGCCGTAAGGGGCGGCACGAGGGGCCGTAAGGGCGGCGCGACGGGCGCGACGGGCCGTAAGGGCGGCACGAAGGGCCGTAAGGGCGGCGCGAAGGGCCGTAGGGGGCGGCGCGACGAGCCGTGAGGGGGCCGCTAAGGGCGACGCGACGGGGCCGTGAGGGGCCTAGCGAGGGCGCGACGGTAGGGGGAGCACACAGGGCGCGACTCGGGCCTGAGCGAAGCGCGCTCCGGGCAGGAAAAAAAAATTTCGTGGTGGTGGGCCCTAGGAATCGTTCCCACTAGGGAACCTGCTCGATACCATGAGAAGAAACGAGGAATGGGGATGACTAAGGGAAAGTTGGGTACAAATGCAAACCCTAGAAAACTGTACCCCATATGTGCTACCCCACTATAGCCTACAGTAGCTCTGTCATATAAATCTGACAACTAGCGGAGTCGCATGGAAGGGCGTGCCGAGCCTTGTGAGCAGGCCGCAGGCGGCAATGCTCACCGCACCGCATGCGCAACTTGCCAAGCGCTACCTGCTTCCTTACCTCTCTTTCCCCTCCTTCCCGAATTGAAGCATCAAGCGAGTTTGACGCAAGCGTCATCCTGAAGATAATTTTGATAACCTGGCGGAATTGCTGGTTTGACGTTAGGCCGGGTAGGGCGAAAAAATCACCAGGGTAAAAACGACCCAGGGAAGTGGGGGGGAAGGGGGGAGGGGGTGTTGGGGGGGGAGGAGGGGGAGTAGAAGAGGGTGGGCAGGGGGGATAAAAAGTCTGTCTGCATGACCCTTGCATGTGCCCACCCATGTGACCCCTCATGCCATTCGCCCCCCCATGTGCCCCCCATGCGCCATGTGGCCCCATGTGCCCCCCATGCCATGCGCGTGCGCCCCCCCTGTGTGGCCCCCGTGTGGCCCTCCATGTGGCCCCCGTGTGGCCCTCCATGTGGCCCCCGTGTGCCCCCCCATCACACACCCCCTCACGGATCCCCGTGCGTGCATGAGGCACCATGGGGCTGGCCAGTGTGGTGGGGGGGGGGGGGGGGGGGGGGGGGGGGACAGCACACAAGGATCCTCTGTGGCAGTGGCAGGGGCTGTTGTGGGGAGCATGCACCCCCTCAGGCTGTGCGCTGTGCACTTGCTTGCTGCAGCTGCTGCATGCGTCCCCCATGCCACCATCACCCCATGCCACCATCACCCCATGCCACCATCACCCCATGCCACCATCACCCCATGCCACCATCACCCCATGCCTCCATCACCCCATGCCACCATCACCCCATGCCACCATCACCCCATGCCACCATCACCCCATGCCTCCATCACCCCATGCCACCATCACCCCATGCCACCATCACCCCATGCCACCATCTCCCTATGCCACCATCACCCCATGCCACCATCTCCCCATGCCACCATCACCCCATGCCACCATCACCCCATGCCACCATCTCCCCATGCCACCATCAACCCATGCCACCATCACCCCATGCCACCATCACCCCATGCCACCATCACCCCATGCCACCCTGTCCCCACCCACTCATCTCCGCTCCACCTCATTCCACTCCGCTCCGCCCATCCCAACCCACGCACACGTGCGTGCATGATGCATCAGGCGCTGGAGGGGCTGGCGGTGGTGTTTGGGGGGGTGCAGGAGGACCCATGGGTGGTGAACAGCAGCCTCACTCAGAGGAGCTTCGCCAACTACATCTTGCGCACGCAGCCCGCCCGCCCCTGGGTGCACTCCGTCGCCTACATTTGCCTTGTCAACGGCCCCGACAGTTATGTCCTCTTCTTGACTTGAGTCGACAGGTATGTCCTCTTCTTGACTTGAGTCGACAGGTATGTCCTCTTCTTGACTTGAGTCGACAGGTATGTCCTCTTCTTGACTTGAGTCGACAGGTATGTCCTCTTCTTGACTTGAGTCGACAGGTATGTCCTCTTCTTGACTTGAGTCGACAGGTATGTCCTCTTCTTGACTTGAGTCGACAGGTATGTCCTCTTCTTGACTTGAGTCGACAGGTATGTCCTCTTCTTGACTTGAGTCGACAGGTATGTCCTCTTCTTGACTTGAGTCGACAGGTATGTCCTCTTCTTGACTTGAGTCGACAGGTATGTCCTCTTCTTGACTTGAGTCGACAGGTATGTCCTCTTCTTGACTTGAGTCGACAGGTATGTCCTCTTCTTGACTTGAGTCGACAGGTATGTCCTCTTCTTGACTTGAGTCGACAGGTATGTCCTCTTCTTGACTTGAGTCGACAGGTATGTCCTCTTCTTGACTTGAGTCGACAGGTATGTCCTCTTCTTGACTTGAGTCGACACGTGTGTCCTCTTTTTGTGTCGACAGGTATGTCTAAAAATTTTCAGGCCCCTTCGTCTCTACGTTGGCAAATACGCGTATCACGTATAATACGCTAGCGTATTATACGCTGGGTATATACGCGGTACGCAATGGCTGGCGTACTGCTGATACGCTAAAATACGCTGGGCGGGCAGGTAAAACCTTTTTCCCGGGCAGTAGAGCTGTAAACAGAGGCTGCATTGCTCGTCGAACTACTAGGAGCTAAGCTTGACGCCATGGCGCGCGACTACGGAACGTCTAACTAACGGGGAAGAATGCTAGACGAGACTTGCGGGAAGTAAATTGAAGAGCATTGTGGAAGTCGTCGACCTAAAAATGCTCACGAAGTGATGAACATTTGAAAGGGGTGGTTGGGTTTCAGAGGTTGGGTAGGGTGGTGTGTGGTTGAGTGGGTGGGAAAGTTTGGATTTTGAAATTCGAAGTTCGGACGTGGGTTGGGTGCTTGAGCGAGTTCGCGGTACAATTCGCGAAGCCGCAAAGTCGTCGCGAATTTTCTCAATTTCGGATTTTTTTTTCCGCGGGCTGCCCGGGCGTATTTTCGCAAATCCAGAGCGTGTTAGCGTACCACGTATATACGCTAGCGTATATACGTGGTACGCCAGCCTTCCCAAAGCGTATCTGCCAACGTAGCTTCGTCTCCACCCACCCACCCACCCCAAGTAGGGTTCAGCCCCAATCCTCGTCTCTCCTGATGCAAAGTTTCCGTCAAACTGGCACTGGCAGGAACAACATGCCAGCAGTTGAGGGAAGAAGAGCGGAGAGGGTAAGCTAAGGGAAAATTTGAGTCAGTATCCTGATATGAGGGGATCTGATACGTGAGGGTGTGAGGCGGAGCACACTCAGCCTGTCAATGTCCCACTGGACCTGGTGAGTTCTAATCGTGCTGGGGAATGGCCGAGTCTGCCTGGGAGAATCAGTTTTCCCATTACAGTGCCCGTCCTGAGCGTTCTTCTCAACTTAGCATGTGCCAATCCCTTTGTCCGTTTGCTCAACTTCACCCATCTCACATGCATGCACAATACAAGGAGGGATGATGAACGCTCCTTGACCCTGTGTTCTCCCTCCCACAGTCGCCTCCCCTGCAACCCTGCATGGCAACCTTTAAGCTCCCCGTAGTCATGCTGACTGCCCATGAGCCTTCAAGTGACTTGCCCTCTCAAAAGCACCCCGCGCGTTGCCCCTCCTCTTGTCGCATCTCCTGGCATCCCCTGGCATCTCCTGGCATCCCCTGGCATCTCCTGGCATCTCCTCACATCTCCCCCAGGGCGACCTTTGAGCGGCGTGTGGGGTGCGTGCTGGTGGACACGTCGTACCAGCCATGCCCGCCCGCCGACTGGTACATGGACGTGCGCCTGTGGTTCGACGCCTTCCACCCCTTCAACCGCACCGAGTCCGCCACCTATTGCCTCGACAGTCGGCAGCATCCCACGTATGGGGCGCAGCTGAACCGCGTGAAGGAAACTCCCGAGAAGATGCTCGCGGAGCCCACCGTGCTCACCAATGGGCATCCAGGCATGGGTGAGCGGGCAGGGCTGTTAACTGGGCTCATCTCAAGCACTCTCACACACCTCTATCCCTTGTGCCCTCTTTCTCCCTTTTATTCCTCCTGGCCCCCCTCTCGTTCTTTTTTTTGTGGGTTTTTTCTGTTTCAGTCTTCCCTCCTCCCCCCTTTCCCAATTCCCTTTTATTGCATTTGGTTTTATGCCTCTTCGTGTTGCCCATTGCCTCTCCGAGCCGAGTCCTCTAGGCATGATGCTCCCGATCTTCAAGGGCAACGTGACGGCAGCATCATCGTTGCAAGAGAGGCAGGCAGCACTCATGGGCGTGTTTGCAGCGATGGTGGATTTCACCCGTCTTGCCGACTTCATCGATCTCGAAGTGCTGCTGCAAGGTGCGCTGCAGCTGCCGTTCACTGGCTCGTTGAGAGGTTGAAACATCTATTTCTGAGTAGCTGACCAACTGATCAGCCAACTTTTGCAGCTTTGTTGAGAGGTATTGGTACTGTCTCGGCAGATTGACTGTTAGTGTTCGTTTCAGCTCAACTAAGTACTGAGGCGGCGTGAGAATCGTTACTCATGAGGTTCATAAGCCTTCATATTCCTTTTGTTGCTCCTGTCCATTCAGAGAGGGAGGGAATATTTTTCTGCACTTGTACGACGTCCAGTCCAGGGTGCCTGGTAGAGAGTGCTATAGGAGTGACTTTTGAGTCGACTTCACTTCTAAGAATTCTCAAAAGTGAGTTCAACAAAGTCACCTCAGGGCAATGTGTCCCTCGCCCTGCTGGTGCAGGCATGGAGTATTCTCTGGAGATGTATGACGTCACGGCCACGGATGTGCTCCCCGGCTCCTCCACCCCGCTGGGCCCGCGCCTGCTGTACGGGGCGGGCGACCTGCCTCAAGGCAACCCCATGCACGTCAACAAGCTCATTCCGCCGTCCAACGAGACCATGCTGCAGCCACACCGCCACAAGGCCGTGCACCACATCAACCTCACCGACTCATCAAGAACGTACCAGCTCTGGTGCCGGTCAGTTGCCTCGCAACCATGCACTGCACTGCCCTTCAACCGTGCACTGCCCTTCCTTCCAAACCTCTCCATTGTGTCAATTCATGTTTTCGCCTGCTAGTCCGTTTTGTGACTTTTGTTGTGCTCCCCGCTTGACTCATAACAGTTCATCCTCCCACTCATAGCCCTCCCACTCACAGCCCTCCCACTCACACCCCTCCCACTCACACCCCTCCCACTCACAGCCCTCCCACTCACTCCCCTACCACTCACACCCCTCCCACTCCCACTCACACCCCTCCCACTCACTGCCCTCCCACTCACAACCCTCCCACTCACAACCCTCCCACTCACAACCCTCCCACTCACAACAACCCTCCCACTCACAACCCTCCCACTCACAACCCTCCCACTCACAACAACCCTCCCACTCACACCCCTCCCACTCACAACCCTCCCACTCACAACAACCCTCCCACTCACACCCCTCCCACTCACAACCCTCCCACTCACAACAACCCTCCCACTCACACCCCTCCCACTCACAACCCTCCCACTCACAACAACCCTCCCACTCACACCCCTCCCACTCACAACCCTCCCACTCACCAATTCATCACGGAGTTGCCAGCTCTGGCGCCCGCGAGTCGCTTCTTCAGATGCATTGCTCTTCCTCCTTGATCACTCCTCTATGCCCGCTTTCGGCATTCTCATGACTGACGAAAATGAATACATGAAGGGTTGTAAGTTCAACAGCTGCCCTCCCCACCCAGCCCATCGTACACACACACCCCATGCTTGGATTTCCCCGCAGCTCCCATCCCATTCTCATTTCTCGCCATCCTCCTCTGATTAAAGACCGTCATTACGATTCTGCTTCAATAACATTTCAGGCAACTTAAAGCCAGTCGTTGCCTGTGCTGCACTGCACTCAATGATTTCAACCGACATTCCCTTGTCCCCCGCTGGCCCCAATGTGCCGCGTGGGCTGCCAGCTTTCAGGGCTCGGACACAGCGCACAGCATGACGGCCATATTCCTGGGCCTCGTAATCCTCGTCGTGGCCGCGCTGCTGGCCGCCATTGGTGTGAGCGTGACGATCAACACGCGGAGGCTGCGCGAGAAGACGGCAGTGCTGGCGGCGCTCAAGGAGCAGGCGGAGGTGGCGGAGCGCAACAAGAGTGTGTTTGTTGCCAACACCGCGCATGAGCTGCGCACGCCCATCAATGGCATGGAAGGTTCGGTCGTGCCCGTGAGGCGAGGCGCATGAGTGAGTGACCTGGGGAAGAGTTGCCTCACAAGTTATGAAATCTTTGTTTCTTCTCGACGTTGGCAGGGCACGCTGACCTGGTTGGGTGTAAGCAGGGTCTGCTAAAGGTCGAAACCATTTCAGCTGAAAGATCACAATGACTGTGCTGTGCTCATGATACTACAACATGTGAGCCTCCACGTTCTAATCTCTGCGAATCACCTCTCGCTGCGCCAACCGCCCTACAGGCATGCTCAAGCACCTGGACGAGAGGGGGCTGGACGAGGAGCAGAAGGAAGACGTGGGGGCAGTGGTGGAGCAGGCGGAGAAGATTCTGAGCCATAGCATGTCAACACGGTGCTGGACGTGTGCAAGGCTGAGGCGGGCCGCCTGCACCTGGAGAGCCTGCCATTCGACCTGCGCTCGTGGCTGCGCGACGCGCTGCACTCACACGTGCACGCTGCTCAGGAGCAAGGCTTGAACTGTAATCACCCTCACTCACTGGCCCTTCTCTCACTCACCCGTGTCTTGATCACCTGTTTCTGCTTGCGCTTCTCTTCATGCTTTTGATTCATTCTTCTTTGAATTACCGCCCGGTTCTTCTGCGTGTGCATGTGGGGGCCCACCTATTCAGTCACATGGCATGTGGATGGCGATGTGCCCAGTGTGGTGGTGGGGGACTACCTTCGCCTGCAGCAAGTGGTGGACAGAATAGTTGGTGAGTGGATGACTCCAATTTTATCACTCTGAACTACATGTGGTTTAGGAGGTTGGATGGGCTTAGGGTTTAGGGTTGAGGATTTACACATGAGGATGAGGCGAGGTGAGTCAAGCGGGCCTACACTGGAGTGGAGTTGAGGCGAGTCGAATGTGGCCCTCGCTCAACTCCACACGGCACTCCACCGTTTTCGGCGAGTCTGGTTTCGGACTCTCAACGATGCTGCAGGAAGTTCAAACACCTGAACACAAAACCTTAACAGCTCATTCTGGTTCAGTTCACAAACTTGTCAGTGTAACCTCAGTCACATGATAGCCATGAGCATAGGTCGAAGCCAAGCCTGCTTGCTTTGAGGCTCGACTTGCCAGCGGGCTGATGAGTTGGCGGGCTAACGAGCCGAGCCAGCAGCTGACCGCTCGAGTCTCGTGCATCGTAGGTGTGCCGGACGAGCACATTCCTCAACTCTGCTTCTTTTCTTCCCTTTGGTCTAGACGGCCTCTCGCATTTCTCGTCTGTGAGTTGACAAATTGGACTCGTTGTTTGCTTGTGTTGATGCTCCCCTCCCCCCAGACAACGCCGTCAAGTTCACGAGCAGCGGAGGCGTGTGCGTGCGGGTGCAGTGCCTTCCCCCCCACACCCACATCCCCGCCCACCTGCTCTCCCTCGGCTGCCTCGTCACTGAACCCACCCCCTGCTGCTCCTCGCCTGCCGCTGCTACCACTGCTGCAAAACCCGCTGCTGCTGCTACTGCTGCTACTGCGAGTGCAGCTGGGCATCGGGTGGGAGCGGGAGAGCCGCTAATTAGGGCGTCGTTGTGGGAGCAGGTGGGGCAGCGAGGGCTGGCGAGGGTGGTGACGGGCGCATGCAGTGAGTGGGTGGTCCAGCGAGGCCTGGCTGCGCAGTGCCTGGGGTGCTACTGGCGCATGCCCCCGGTTCAGGAGGGGGGGCCGGAGCAGGAGGAGAGCGAGGAGAAGGGGGGGCGTGAGGAGAGGGAGGAGGGGGAGGAGAGGGTAAGCGTTCAGGAACAAAGTGATGCGTACCAAGAAAGCGGGGGAGATGGGGGAGGCGAGAGGCCTGGGGGAGCCCAAGTGGGCGATGCGGGGTGTAGAGAGACAGGCGCAGCGGTGATCCCTCTGCGACCACGTGCTGCTGTGCACGGAGCAGCGAGTGCTGGTGAGGATGCTGGGAGTGCAGCAGGGAGCACAGCTCTAGGGGATGGTGCTGTGGGCTCGTGGAGGAGAGCTGTGGGGCGGTGTTGGCGCGCACGGGGCAGGGAGCAAGGCACGGAGGCAGAGGGGGGAGGTGACAGGCGGTGTGTGGTGGTGCTGACGTGTGAGGACACAGGGTGTGGCATCGCAGAGGAGGTGCAGCGCCACGTGTTTCAGGCGTTCATGCAGGTGAGCCCTGCCCCTCATGCAGGTGAGCCCTGCCCCTCATGCAGGTGAGCCCTGCCCCTCATGCAGGTGAGCCCTGCCCCATGCATGCCGCATCATGCCATGTACCATGCAGGCCAGCCGTGCGATCGAATCAAAGATTTGGTGGAAAACCAACAACTACCATTCAAGCAGAAGCACTAAAGAGGCACACAGTCATCAGCTTAATACGACCGCCGTCCATGCACGTGCTAGTTTCTCAACCAACTGACCACTGCGCTCTGTTGCTTCTCCCACCACCCACCCATCAGACCCGTGCGCACGGAGGCAGCGGCATGAGCCTGCACTTGTGTCGGCAGCTGGTGAGTCATTCTTGACACTTGCCAGGTCCTACTGACAGTTGTCACGTCTTTTTCACACCTTAACCAGGTACTTTTTTTGGACCTTCAAGATTTTCCCGTTGTCCTTGCATGCACGCTCTTCAAATGTAACTCCTGGAGTGATATTTAAATTCCCGCTATGTGACAGGGCTGCCACAGTCACATTCGTTACACTCGAATTCTGTTGCGCCTCCATGTTTGCACCTCCTCCCGATGGCAGGTGGCGCTCATGGGAGGCAGCATTGGGCTGCTCAGCACAGAAAGTCACGACACCACCCTGCATGTCACTCTGCCCATGGCCGTTGCTGCTGCCACTGCTGCTGCACCTGTGGGTGGTAACCCGGGTTTAGCCAGCGCCAACACCTCTGGGCCACAGGCTACCTGTGCTGCTTCCTCCTCTTCTGGCGACGAAGCAGCTGTCCCAAGGGCAGTGGAGACGAAGAGTGCGAGTGAGAGTCTGAAGGAGTTGCTGCAGGGCAAGGCGATTCTGGTGAGATGCAGGGCAAGGCGATTCTGGTGAGATGCAGGACAGGGTGTTTAGACTGGAAAGAATTTTGTGTGTTTGTGGCAGCTGCTTAACACCGATTCCCTCCATACATTCATGCAACCAACGTTGTCGCACCTCTTACAAAGCCTCTGTTCTCATTCCTTGGACACATGACTGAAGGCAAGACTGGTGGTCCTAACTTGCTCTTCATCCCCAACCACCCGTGTGTGTGGCAACCCCCCCTCTCTCCACCTCGGTGGTGGACGTCAAAGTGAGAAGCGCATGCTCACTCCGACTCCGTCTCCAATCTGCCCTGCTCTCGTCCCCTCTCCACCCCTCCTCTATCCCCTGTGCGCACCCCCCCCTCTATCTCCTGTGCGCACCTCCCCCTCTATCCCCTGTGCGCACCTCCCCCCTGTACCCCCTTGAACACCCCCCCTGCACCCCCTTGAACACCCCCCCTGCACCCCCTTGAACACCCCCCCTGCACCCCCCCCCCGGTACCTGCTGTGCTGCCAGGTGGTGGACGACAACGCCATCAACCGGCGGGTGGCAGCCAGCACGCTGGCGCGGTACGGGGCGCAGGTGGCGCTGGCAGAGTCGGGCGACGCCGCGCTGCGCCTGCTGCAGGCGCCCCACTCCTTCCGCCTCGTGCTCATGGACCTCCAGATGCCCGGCCTCGACGGTTTCCACACCACCGCTCGCCTGCGCGCCCTCGAGGCCCAAGCCAACACAGCCCAGGAGGGTTTGCAGGGAGGGCAGGAGGCTAAGGAGGAGCAGGGGGGGCAGGGGAGTCAAGGCGTGCAGTGCATGGCAGAGGTGGGGAAGAGGGGGACGGAGGGCGGGTCGAGGGGCTGGCAGGGGCAGCAGCACATCCATGTGGTGGCCATGTCAGCAGATGTGGACAGCACTGTTGCCGCCCGTGCCACACAGGCTGGCATGGATGGTGCTGTGCAGAAGCCACTCAACGAGAGGCTGCTGCTGCAGGTGCTTTCAACACTAAATGGTTTGTAACACATTCACAGTTTTACCGAATGGCCCCGGATGAACACTGTCAGAATAATTGTTGTTTAATTGCATAGCTAGTTTAGTATAAGACCCCCCCCCAGTTGCAGACTCCCAGGTCAATAATACGGAGGGGGCTACGCTAAATAGGTCGTTTGTAGTTATACCCCCCTAAATGGGGGCTAACATGATAAGATCCCCCTCCCCCTAGAGAATTTGTCATTTTACAGGCAAGGAATGAAATTCTGATGATTTTTCTACCCTTTTCCCCACCAAATCTCATAACATGCTCATTAACAAGGGTTAACAGCCAGTTACTGTTGATATAACCGAAGGATCGTAGTGGACAGGATAAGGTAGCCAAGTGTGAAAGGAGAGAACTATAAGTCTCTGTAGTGACCTTGTTAATAAGTTGAGAGAAAACAAGATAATTATAAGATGGAAGTACAGGGATATAAATAGCATTCCTAGCTAGCCATGTACTCTGAGGGGTACATTCCAGAGCTCTCGCTAGGTTTTGGGGCTGTCTGACAGTACCCTGAAAAAAATTTCCCCCGTCTTACGCTTGGACGACGAAATTTACATAGTCTGCATTATAAGCTGGAATAGTTTTTCTAGTCTGATAAATAAGACGAAAAAATTTCCAGGGTACTGTCAGACAGCCCCAAAACCTAGCGAGAGCCCTGCCTTGAATCATCCACACAGGCTGCAAGTTTGGTGGAAAGCCACCATATTTGGAAATAACTGATAAGTGACGGGCTCTTAAAACAGAAGAACCTTCACCACCATAAGTTTTCACCAGAGAGGGACCTTTTCAAATGTTACTGAGAGGTCCGAGTGTTTGAGTGTTATGGGCAGGACTCTGCAGATTGCTCCTAGGATTATGCCGCTGCCTGCAGCAGGGTCTGCTTGTGCTACCGCGCTACCGGCTAGAATTGTCTGAACTGAAGAGGCTCGGTTACTGTGAATCATGGTAAGAGCTACTGGAACTATTACACCTGAAGATGGACTGATCCTTCTTGGCAGCATATGCCGCAGTTACATGACAGCGAGGCTGCTATAAGACACGCGTATTGAATGCGCGTGCTGTTACAGAGCAGCAAATGGCTGTACCTGTGGTCCTATTCTCTGGTCCACTGGGCATATGGCCTAGTGGGTCAAGATGTCGGTTTCAGACGAAACCGAACTCGATATCTGTATATTCAGATTAAGAATTCTACACGTCTGGAAAAATCATACGAACCTAAAACGCTTATCTTACTGATCAGATGAGAACAAACACAGATTCTTAGGAAGCAGTTGAATACAAAAATCAAGTCTTAAACTCAGACCATCAGACCAAATTGGTCTGATAACGAGAGCCCTGGTACATTCCCTTATTAACCGAATTGCATTGCTACAGTAACCCACGACTATTGCCATTCTAGACAGTTACCACGTTCCACTTCGTAACTGCCTCGTGCGGTTACTGGGCAGTCAAGGGTCACGACTGTTGACTGTCTTCGACCGTTGACCTTCGGGTGACCCTTGGACTTCCGCGTGCTCTATATGAGCTATTGCGGTACTAGTACAGGCGTACACTTCGTTATGGAGTGACGCGAGAGTGGGGAACCTTCGGGAATGTTTTATAATAACCTTTCGGTTATTCCAACACTCCCCTTCATTCTTGAAGGTGGGCCACGTGGGACTTCTTTGGTGATCCCACAAAGGTTGGCGCAGTGCTGGAACTGTTGACGTGGCAATTTCTTTGTCAGGAAGTCGGCTGCCATGTCACCAGTCGGGCAGTACGTGAGCTTAACCTTGCCCTTGTCGATTTCGTCCTTGATGAAGAAGTAGCGAAGGGCGATGTGTTTCGTGCGATTCACGAAGCCAGGCTTGTTTGCAATCTTGATCGCGCTCTGGTTGTCGCAGAGTAACGTGAGGTGCCCGTTCATCGTTACTTTCACTTCCTGCAGGAGCTCCATCACGTACAATCCTTCGCGAACAGCTGCGCTGGCGGCGATAAATTCTGCTTCAGCTGACGAAAGGGCGATGAGTTCTTGCTTCTGAGAATTCCATGAAATGAGCCCAGCAGGTTGAAGTTGAAAAATGAATCCTGTGCGAGAGCGTCTGTTGTCAACATCTCCCGCGTGGTCAGCGTCTACGTAGCCGTGCAGCTGCAGGGTGGCTGTTAAGTTAGCTTCGTAGGTGAGGCCGACGTCGGGAGTAGAGATGAAGTATTGCAGTGCTCGGCGTAGATCCAGTAGATTCTCCCCTTCAGGTCGCTTCAGGTACTGTGCGAGCTGGCTAGCGACGTAGGAGAGATCGGGCCGGCACGTGACGGCGGCGAACAAGAGACATCCCAGCTGCTGCTGGTAGAGCCGATGTTTTTCGGGAGAGAGAGGCGTGGTGTCGGGTTCGTGGTTAGGAGGAGTGCGAAACGGGGTGGAGAGGTTGATTGGTGCGATGCCGAATTTCTTCACGAGTGTTTCGGCGTACTTTGCGGCGGAGAGATGAATGGAGGAGGCAGACTAGGTGATGTTGAGACCCAGGAATTGAGTGACGTCGTGGTTGATGGTGACTTCCAGCTGTTCCTTGATGTCTGCCTCGAATTGGTCCAGCAGCGCCGTGTCGTTGCCGGTGTAGAGGAGGTCGTCGACGTAGGCAACGAGGAGAATGAATTTGCCGCGCGACTCCTTCCTGTACATTCCGAGGTCGTGGGGCAGCTGTTGGAAGCCGAGGTTTGTGAGCACCATGTGGAGGTACTGCTGCCACAGGCGAGGTGCTTGCTTGATCCTGTAAAGTGATTTCTGGAACAGGCAGACGGCGCCGTCGTTTTCTTCGAAGGCATGCGGCTGCTCGACAAAGATGATGGCGTCGACCGGAGCGTACAAGAATACGCTGCCGACGTCGATTTGACGGAGCGGACGCTGTTTGACGGCGGCGATGCAAATGAGAATCCGCACCGAAGTGTGCCGTCTGACTGGTGCGTAGGTGAGATCGAAATCCACCATATGTGTTTGTTCGAAGCCGCGGACCACCCATCGTGCCTTGTATTTGTCGATGGAGCCGTCCGCCAGCGTCTTGATGCGGAACACCCATTTCTCCCCTTCGCAGATGTTCGGGGAACCAGCTTCCAGGTGCCACGGTTCTTGAGCGACGCGACCTCCTTGGCCATGGCGGCTTTCCATTTTTTACTGTCGGGGCCGGAGAGAGCCTGACGAACAGTGGTGGGTTCCTTGAGAGAGGAGTGGCGAACAGCGACGGCGAGTCCGAGGATTCGGAGACCAGTTTCGTTGGTCTTTTCGTAGTGCAGGCGGTCGTAGTCGTGGAAGCTAGTTACTTCGACCACGTTGTCGTCGCTTTCGTTGCCAGGGCGGAGGGCGTCTTGCGAGGTGTTGGGCTGTGGTAACACGACATCTGGTAAGTGGCGGGCGGTGCTGTTGAAGTCATGGGCATTGCGAGTTGTATCGTCGGGATCAGTTTGGTGTAGCGGAATGAAGGTTGGGGTTTGGAATGGGCTTGTAAGGGGGATGTTGGGTGCGCTGTCAAACTGAGTGATGTTTGACGCGTCCTCATCTTCCGCCAGGTCAGCTTCATCATGTGGAGTTGCGAAGCTGCGATGTCCTTCGAAGATCCGTTCCGGTGCCTTGTCAGCTTCGCGGTGTTCGTTGAACAGTGGCAGAGTCAGCTTCTCGTAGAAGATGCAGTCACGTGATTTCGTCACTTCGTGTGTCGCGTAGTCCAGCATGATCCACGCCTTGTATTCCTTTTCGATCCCGAGGTGAATGCCCCACCGAGCTCGGTCAGCAAACTTTCCGGTCCGTGCTGTGTGTGGCCTGTACTGTACCATGCACCGAAAGACCCGAAGTAGGCGCGTGTCTGCCTTTCTGCCCGTCCACGCCTTGTAGGGTGAATTGTTGTTCTCGAGGCTTCGGGAGGACATCAAGTTGTGCAGTCGGACTGCATGGTTCATGGCGAATGGCCAGTAATGTGTTGGGATGGCCGACTACTTCATGAGAGCCCTCATCCTGGTGGCGAGGCTCGTGTTTGTCCTTTCCGCTACTCCTTGCTGCTCGTGAGCGTAAGGCAGGGACACCAGGTGTTCAATCCCCTTCTTCCGGAAGAGCTCCTTGAACTCGTCTGAGAAGAACTCCAGAGCTCCGTCCGTCTGCCAGGTTTTCAGCTTAAGGCCCGATTGTCGCTCGGCTCGCTTCATCCACGCGATGAAGCATTCGAAGGCGAGCGACCTGCAGTCGGTGTTGATAGCCCAGACGTAGCGAGTGCTCGCGTCGATGAAGGTCAGGGTGTAGTATTCGCCGTCAAGTCCTTCCTGCGTCAGGCACATGAAGTCGCTGTAAAATTTGTCGAGCGGCTTGTAGCGTTCGTAACCGGGCGGTAGGTCGGGGAAGGGCTTGTAGGCGAGCGACGCGGTAGGGCACACTGTGCAGGATGGGTCGTCGGAGTCTGCGGTGAGAAATCCTCCTCGTGGGAGGAGCAGAGCTTCGTGGTCGAAGACCCCAGCCTTCAGGGAGTTTTTGAGTGTTGTGTAAGAAGGATGCCCGAGCCGCTGATGCCAGATTTCTGGTTCCGCACGGTAGCCCACTGTCTTCTGATAATCTTTCTGTCTTGCTGCTTCGTCGTTTGCCTCCCCTTCAGGTCCTGCATCGGCGGCGTTGTCAGCGTCGGCGGCGAATGCGCGAATTGCCTTTTGTTTCAGAAGCGCGTGTGGAATACCGATGATGTCATCGGTGTCGCCGGCGTTGACTTGGTCTCCAGTGACGAGCAGATACCGATCAGGCCAGTCGCGGACCGGAAGTCCCTTGATGGGGATGCGATAGTAGCTGAATTCGGCTCCAATGACCTCAATTTCTTGTGGTCCTTGTTCTGGTGGCTCCGGTATTTCGGTAGGTGCTGGCAGCTCCGCTGCTTCTCCGAAGAGTTCGTAAGCTGCTTCCTGCTCCTCTGACTCTTCTTCCATTCGTTCTGGTGTGTCAAGGGCATACTGGTCTGGAAGAGGAGGGCCACCC